ACGTCTAGGGCGCGCTGTGTCTTGATGCGCTAAAGGAGCTCGTTGACCAAGCTAGTCAAGTCGACGACCTGCTGGGACAAGTGATGCTAGCTATTTGGATTGGAATAATCTAGATAATGGGGTCTCCATGTGTGGTGGAAGTGTAGTGGACTGGAGGTACAAAGCTTGGGCCTGGAGCGGGATTCCTGTATAAAAGTAGGGTGAAAATAACCTTGGGTCGATCACGATGTTGGTGGCCGGAATCAGAATCGCCAGAGGTGGCCTCAGATTGTGTTGGACAGTAGGCCAAGTCGCCGGAGCAGGTCGCGAGTCAGGCCAACCTGCCTGGGTCATCGAAGAATGCACGGGCACACGTTGAGCTCGCACGTATAGCGGCTGGCCTTAGGCTTGCATTGCGTGCTGGGTCGGCACTAACTCCTCACAGGCTTGGGCTCGCCTTGCAGTGGGCTGGGCTCAGTTGCAACGAGCTGGACCTAAGCTACTTACCTGTAGGCTGCTCCTACTGGCTGGGCCATCTCTGCTGGGTTCCTGTGGACCTGGGCCTGGGCCTAGAGTGTCTGGGCTCGCTGGATGACAGCTAGGGCTGTAGTACGCTGTTCCTCTTACCCTGGGCCTGTTGTGGTAACTGCCACGTCATAGGCCTCCTGCCCTTGGGCTGTGAACTTCTGTGCAATGTAGTGGGCAATTGCAGCATGCAGCTGGGCTCCAACTTGGGTTACTACTGTTGCAGTGGTCCTTATTAACTTAACACACAAATTAAACCCTCTTGTATCAATTGTAGTAAAGAATGTAAGTAGGGATCGTTTTAGGCCGGGGATTAGGAGAGCTTGCTAATAACCTCTAAACTGACTTAAAAACATATAAACAAAGTTAAAAACACTACACAAGACTTAAAGAGCTCAAAACAAACTCAAAAGACTCAAAACAAGCTAAAAACGCTCAAATCTGCCTAAAAACACAAACTGGGTAGATTTGGACTCTAAACACATTTTTGGATGAATTTTTGTTTTAACTTGGTTCGAAACACTTAAAAACACAAACTAAATCAGTTTCTAACTAATATGACTCAACAAGGTAAAGGGGGTTTTGGTTTTGACGAATTTGAAAACAAAACAAGTAAATTAAAGAACTAATGAAATCTGCACGAATTTGAGTAAATTGAATGGATGGAAGGCTATCTAGGAGGTTCTTCTCCACACATGGCACACTTGCAAACAAAACGATTTCCAGTTGCTTTTCAATAAACTACAAATTCTCAAAGCCCCAGATTAACTGTGAAATGCACTAATTAACCCTCAGATTTTCCTAATTTCATTGAATTGGATGATTGCATACAACAACCCAAAGCATTCCCCACAAGTTCCCTACATGAATTGCATAATAGAGATACAAGCAAGAATCATTAAGTTCTATGAAAATCATAAGCATTGACGAAACACTTGTAACTATGAATTGCATGAAACTTATGCCAAGAATTTACTTAACACGGTTATGACGAGCAACCTTCACTATTTGTGAATATAAGTGCATAACGATTAGGTGAAACTCCCTTATATCCTAGCATCAGATTTATGCATGAAAATTAAGCGTGCACTCTCAACCAACACACGCAAATCAGTTTTAATTCAAATGGATAAGTAAATTGAATTCACAACTTATGAATCACAACTGAAAGTAATCAAATCATATTGCAATCATGAACATGGTTTCGAATTTCCCCTAGCTAAGGGGGGTTTAGTTCCTCATACTCACAAAGCAAAGATAAACAAATTTAGACATTGAAAACAAAGAATGAAAACACCTAAAAACGCTCCAACAATCCAACTTGAATGGCAAGCACTTCCAAAGGTCCTTCTTCTTCTCTTTGTTGTGGCACAAGGTGTGGTTTGATGGATGCATATGGATATATGGAAGGGAATGGCTGAATGTGTTTTAGGATTGGTGAATGTCTCGGCCAAGGGAAGGGAGTGTATGGAATTGTGTTTTGGGATTTGTGGGAAATGAATGGATGAATGGATGGTGCTCACGGCCAAACAATGAAAGTGTAAGTGTATGGAGTTGTGAGATGTGAATGTAGTATCTTTTGATGGATCTCCCTAGTTATGGTGAAGGGTGGATGTATTTATAGGCTAGGGAGAGGATGATGCACAAACTTCAAATTTCGTCCATTCATTTTGCTCCAAGCATATGCTATCCATTCCATGCCTAAAAATGCTCCAAAATGCACTTCTTTGCCACATTAACCCTTTGGACCTACAAACACACGAAAATAGCTTAAAATACTAAAATAACTATGAACTAACAACATAAATGCCAAGAAACAAGCTAACTAAGTCACATAAATATGCTCCTATCAGCAGGCCAAGTCGCCGGAGCGGGTCGCGAGTCGGGCTAACCTGCCTGGGTCATCGAAGAATGCATGGGCACACGTTCGGCTCGCACGTATGGCGGTTGGCCTTGGGCTTGCATTGCGTGCTGGGTCGGCGCTAACTCCTCGCAGGCTTAGGCTCGCCTTGCAGTGGGCTGGGCTCAGTTGCAACGAGCTAGACCTAGGCTACTTACCTGTAGGCTGCTCCTACTGGCTGGGCCATCTCTGCTGGGTTCCCGTGGACCTGGGCCTGGGCCTAGAGTGTCTGGGCTCGCTGGATAACAGCTAGGGCTGTAGTAGGCTGTGCCTCTTACCCTGGGCCTGTTGTGGCAGCTGCCACGTCATAGGCCTCCTGCCCTTGGGCCGTGAACTCCTGTGCAATGTGCTGGGTAATTGCAGCATGCAGCTGGGCTCCAACTTGGGTTACTACTGTTACAGTGGTCCTTACCGTGGGCTGCAAAATGGTGGTCGCAGTGGTTGTGTGGCTCAATGGCGGTAAGGCTCTTCCCGCCATCGCGTTTAGTCTTGAGGATTACAGTAGTGGGGCTACTTCTTTCCTTGCCGAGCAGCCTCTTTTTGCCATTCAAAGTACTACCTCTGCCTTCGTTTCTGCTCTCCGGTCCAAATCCTTATACGCACAAGGTTTCATTCGCCGTGGTTTCTGAATTTCCTACCATTGTATCATTTCTCTAGGGATTGATCAATTAATTTTTATAGGAATGATTAGTTGATAATGTTTGAGAAATTCAACGTAACAGAAAATTCGAGAAACCAAATCTAATAAGCTTCTTCGAGTATTTGAATCAACTCTCAATGAAAGCACCGTTGTCCTTAGCTTTGACAAAAATGCACCTGCAAAACAAGGTTGGCGGGGTGGGTTTAGTAAGTGTTTAAGACTTTTAGGGGTAGCAATAGCTTACTAAAATTTGGTAGAATTGGGGATATATATATGGGGGAGAAGGCCGACCATGGTGTTAAGGTTTTGCCCTACACATGGCAACATCCTATTGGCCAAGGTTTATGGAGAAATATTCTCAAGATCTTAAATAAGAAATAATATCTTGAGATAATGGAGTAATTATTCCTAATTGATTTAAATAGGGATTACTTACTTGAATAGAGTCAATCTTCAATTGAGAATGTATTAAAGATAGGATTTGGGTAATTAATCCTAATCTTTAATGCTTTGACTTTTCCAAGCCAATGACAGGTGAGCTGTGGGCAGTCTTATTCAGCTGCAGGGACCTTCAGAGGTGTGAATTGCGCATGAGAGTATCTAAAGAGTTTGCCCATTTAATGAGGGCAATCTTGTGTTTCTTGAGCAAAAGTTCACGTGTTGCCTCTAAAATTTTTGAAATTATTTTTAGCTCCACAACTAATACAAACTCAAACTCAACAAGACTCTTTGAAGTTGGAGGCCAAAAACAAGAATTCATAATTTTTTTTTTTAAAATGCCCTCAATATTTGATCAGAAATTAAAACCAAAATTGCAAAGAGCCCCGAGGAAGATGAGTTGAATGTAAAATATAAAATCGATTTGGTCGTGGTAATGTTTAATAAATCTCAGAATCGGGGTTTTAAGCTTGGTGGAGAATTTCTTGCTTGAATCGATGAGCTCGGAGTTGCCTTATGAGCAGTGGGGAAGCCAGAAATTGACTGGGGGAGGGGCGAAGTTAAAAGATTGTGAGGTTCAAAAGAATAGCAACAACCAAATCCTTTTATATAGTAAGGCCTACCATAATTTATCAATATAAACAAATTACAATTGTTGCCGGCGAGGTTTCATATCATGAAAACACCGCATAACAGGCTCATTATCAATAAAAGCAAATACATCTCTCTCAATGTAAACAAGCATGCTATCACTCAACCATTGATCTTTCATTTTGTTACGTAATGGTGTTTTCACAATTTTCATAGCAGAAAAAGCTCTCTCTACCGAAGCGGTTGCAACCGGTAACACCAAAGCCAATGTAAGAAGCTTATACACTAACATATAGCTTGCACACCTTCCGGTCTTCATCAACTCCTTTGCAAGATCACCAATTCCTCTTAATGATGAAAACTCACTATGCATCTTCATATCGTGAATGTAATTGTCAAGTTGAATGGGAAGATTTATGAGATCCATACGATCAAAATCTTGAGGATAAAGTTAGGCTAGACGAACAATTTTTGCTTTGTCAAAAGATGCAAAATTATTCACCAAACTCAAACATGTCATACAAAGAAGCAATTCGGTGTTTACCTCATTGAAGCGATCATTCAATTCCTTTAATTGCGTATCAAGGACTTGAAAATAGAGATCCACACGATAGTAATGAAGGTTTGTGAGTCTTGGAGCTTTACGCCTTGATTTTCCGGGTACGAAATGCAAATCCTCCATGTTAGGAGCGACAATATCATGTTCTTCACAAAACTTTTGTACATCATTAAGCAAGTCCCCAAAATCATCATCTCTCAAGGATTGTATTCTTTGCTTGCATACTTCCACTAACGCCATCGCATTCACAATATCTTGATCTTTCTTTTGTAATGCTTGTGATAACTCATTTCTAATTCCCAATATAAGTCTCATTAAAAAAAGGTGAAACACAAAATCAAAAGTTTGTATGTCATGGAATAACTTACTTGCTTCTCCGAAATTGTCTTGGTTGGTATCATCTTTAATCCATTCAAGCACCTCCACCACGGCTTCAAACATGACAATAATACTCACTATAGTACCATAATGTGAGTTCCAACGTGTATCACAAGGACGCATGAGACTACTCTCTTGATTTAACCCTCTACCCGTTTCAAGATCACCAACATCAAGAGCTTTCTTAATTTGTTCTAGTTCTTTCTCTCTAAATACATCACGACGCTTACACGATGATCCAATAGTATTGACCAAGATACTAGCATTGTTGAAGAAAATGGCGACACCCTCAATTCCCTTTGCAAAGGCTACAAGATCTAGTTGAAGTTGGTGTGCAAAACAATGAACATAAAATGCTTGAGGATACTTGTTCAAAATCTTTGTTTTAAGGCCATTTAGCTCACCCTTCATATTACTAGCTCCATCATAGCCTTGTCCCCGTAACTTGGACATACTCAAATTTGTTGTAGCAAAGAATCTCTCAATAGCCTCTTCAAGTGAGCTATTAGTTATAGAGGTGACATGTTGCACACCCAAAAACTTTTCAATTCCTTCTTCTTTTTTGTTCACAGAACGCAATACCACCGCCATTTGCTCTTTAGTTGAAGAATCACGTGATCCATCAACCAAAAGAGAAAAAAATGCACCTTCCATATCTTTAGTGATTGCATCTATAGTTTCAATGGCACAAGCACGAACAAGATCTTTTTGAATATCGGAAGAAGTATACTTAAGATTCTTGGGAGCATTCTCAAACACAACTTTTCTAACTTGCTCATTATGCTTGGAAAGAAATTGCATAAGCTCTAAATAATTACCTCTATTGCTTGATTTGAACGATTCATCGTGGCCACGAAAAGGCAAACCTTGTCCCAACAACCATCTTGTACACTCAAGTGAGGCATTCAATAAAGTACGATAATTAATGCGCGCTTCATCGGTTTGCTTACTCACAAATGTTTCAATGTGTTGTTTTTGTGCCATCAAATCTCTAGCTTGTTGTATAGCTTTATTATGAAGACTTCCAACACCTCCCTCATGGACTCGAAGATTTTGGGTTCCTTTCTTCCAATTTGTAAACCCTTTCTCAATGAAGACTTCCAGTGCTACCCATTTGATCGAAATCACATTTGAAAAGATAGCAATAACGGCAAAATGCAGCATTTTTTGATATACTATACTCCAACCACTTAAACTTATCAAACCAACCGATGATAAAATATCTTTTGTCACTAACTTTTCTTGGCATGATGTGGTCTCTAGGTTGACAAGGATCATTTTGGAGATAGTGTCTACGAATTGCTTCACGAAAATTAGGTGGATAATCAAGCATTTGACGTCTATGTCCAGGGTCTGCAGGAAGATTAGCCAATATTTCATCCAACTCAGTGGTCTCACTTTGTTGTGACCTACTAGGAATATTCGAAGGAGGACTTCTTGGAATATTTGAAGGAGGAGGAGGACTACTCGGAATATTTGAAGGAGAAGGACTACCCAAAATGTTTGAAGGAGGATTTAAGCATTGTTTCTTAGAGTATCATTCCATTATGTAACTGTAAAATAGAAAGAAAAAAAAATACTTAGACGCTTAATCCTAGAGTAGACTATACTATAGTATGCATAATAACTAATCCAACCAACAATTCAATTAATCAATACCAATAAGCATACAAATTATTCGATAAATAAAAATTCAGTTCAACTAATCATATGAATAATTGTATACATAATACATTATGTAATAATTCAATTCAACAATCGAGAATTCAAATTTTAATTTTTACCCTAAAAAATAATTTCATAATTTCATATCAATAACCATATTAGTGCATTTAGTGCTTTACTATATGATTCTATACTAATTAAACAAAATTCGTTTTAAATAATTAATTAGGGTTAGGGATTATAAATTTAGGGATTAAAAAATTTACCTAAATAGTGGGTTTGAAACTTTGAAGGGATGCCCTGTAGTGTAGACGACTGTAGTGGAGCTGGCGTAGCAAAAAAGGCCAAACAGTGTTGTTGTGCTGTGCTGTGCTGATTGGGCCTTCTGACTTCTGTTCCGTTTTCTGCTTCGAATGGGGGAGCAGCGTCTGCTTTGCTGCTGGTTTGATTGGAAGTTGTAAAGGGTTCGACAGAGAGATTGAATGAATGGGGGACCGCGTGTCCCCTCTATATGAATTTTTTATTTCTTCCAACTTATCAAAACGGCGCCGTTTCATTTTCTTCATTTTTTTTTAATTTTTTTACTAGGACCAAAACGACGTCGTTTTGGCCTAGGACCAAAACGACGTCGTTTTGGCCTGGTTGTTTAAAAAAAAAATTTAAGTCAGCTCTGCTGCCTAAACAGCAGAACCAACCAGATAGACGACCGGAGCAAACAGAGCAGCAGAACTAGTGGGTTTTCCGGCAAGGAAGGGGCAAAACCAGCACTCTAGTCTTGTTTTTCCGGCGAGGGGAGTGGCGGCCGCCACTCCTCGCCCTCACGTGGCTTCGCCACTGCTTATGAGATTTTCTATCTGCCGATGGGGATTTCCCTGCCAACGGATTTGGGTCATCTAATTTGGGCTTCAAATTGTTAAAAATGGATTGGGTAGGCCTATCATTCGTGTCGTGTTTTTTGTTTTTATGTCGTACCAGATATCTTAATGGACTGGAAATTATTAAAATCCATCCAATCAAGAGGCAATGTAATAGTTGTGGGAAGGTGATTATGCAACCAAGAATCTAAGGTATGACAAATTTGCAATTCCATTATAATTTCACACCAAAAAAAAGATCAAATTTTGATTCAAACAAAACAATATCATCTATTACAGACCGAACCAATCAAGCCCAACAAATTAACATCAACATGTCAAAACAACCAAGCCCAACAAATTAACGAACTAATTTTTCTTAATCAATAATAGCATACATATTATCAATCAATAATTCACATCGTTAAGGGTTAAACAAATAGATGAAGACTGAAAATTTACTCAATCACATCAACAAATCAAAGCCCTAAAATTTTATCATCCTGAACTGGAAAAATTTGTAAAATCTAAAACTTTTGACTGAAATTTTACTCAAAGCCCTAAATTTTTATCATCCTGAACTAGAAAAATTTGTAAAATCTAAAATTTTTTGTCGCATCAAAATAATTACAAATTAAACCCCCTATTCTGATAATAAAAACCAAATTAGTAAATTACTCACCTAAAAGCCTTTTTTCAAAGGCAAGCCGGAGTCCCTAATAATCCAAAATCACATCAAATGGAGGAAAATGATATATCAGAATTGATTACTCATGTACTAATAGAAAATTTTATCCTTAATTTGTCTAATTATAGAAATGAAAAAAAATTAAATCAAGAAAACCAAGACTAGATACAATTTTGATGCAAAGAAAGCAAAGTTAGAATACCAAGAGCCAGATTATGCTATTAAATCAGACAAAACTGAGATGCAATGGAATATATACAAATCTAATCCAAGAATACAAACCAAAACCCTTACTTTCTGAGAGAAATTGAGAAAGAACATCATAGAAAGAAAGCAAGAGGAGAGATGTAGCTGGCTCTGGCTGGAATTGTTGACGATGAATGTTTGAGAAAAAAGTTTTACCTTTCACTCGCTTTTGATTCCTGTGCCACAACAGACACATCGCTTGTGACAGTTTCCAAAGGGAATTCCAAATTCAAAATTCAATAATCTAAACCATAATTAACTCACAATTTAGTTCCATCAACATGATAGACATACCAACTGTCAACAGACTAGCAAAATAAACATACAGCCTTCCTAGAAATAGCCCAATAATAGGATTATGTAGTCCGACTGTGATGAACTAAATAAGACATTCAAGCGATCAAAGCTAATCCAGAGCTTTCTCCGCTCCCAAACACAGCAAGAATCGTCAATTTCAAGAAATTCACAGAAAGAGAGAGAAAGGGATAGAGTAGTACAAACCTCAGATCGACTGGCCTCGATCCTCTGGATTCCATCATTATCATAGCAGAAATCGACAACAGCATATATCCACAAACTGCATAACCAAAACCAAAATTTTAAAATTAAAATTAAAATTTAAAGAAAAAATGCAGTAGAATTGTATAATGAGAAATTCTCGAACGTGGATAAATTAATCTTGTGGGATGCGATCAATTGCATTGGGCTGGCAGCAGGCCCCAAAAGTACCTCAAGAGGAAACGAATCAAACACACTGCGTGAGCAATTTGATTTACAAAACAGAATGACATAATTCATATACTTTTACATCATTATACCGTGAGTTATTTACTACTGGTTCTCTGCAATTAAGCTTTTATATGCAACTTAAGAATATATCAACCCAAAAAATCCCCACGAACCCCAAACAAAATAGCTAAACATGCCAATCCTAAGAACACAACCCATATCAAAAACAGTGAACCACACACATAAACACAATTGTGTCTACACAGTGGCCATTAATTAAGTTATAATACGCATGAGTAAACCCTAAAAAACAAAAATCAAAGTTACAAACTTTGAGTACAAATCAATCCAGCATGAAGTTATACCACACATTCTGGCATAAAAGAAAAAAAAAATCACAACTAATATTTGAAATTAAATTCATCAAAAGCACACAAATTCAGTGAGAAGAGAGAGAGAGAGAGAGAGAGAGAGAGAGAGAGAGAGAGAGAGAGAGAGAGAGAGAGAGAGAGAGAGAGAGAGAGAGAGAGAGAGAGAGAGATTACTTGGATAGTTCTTTGAAGTAAGGGACGCATGAGCGCATAACACTCTTAATCTAGGAATGGAGACCGTGCGCCTCCTTCAGAGGGCTTTCGCTATCTTGCGCATCCTCCACCATTACCATGAACTCCCTCTCTCTCTCGCCCCCTCCCTAAAATCAGAGACTCTTTGTCAACAAATCCCATATATTCAAAAATCTAACCCCAAAAACTGTTATCCAGACCCTTCATGAATCACTTCTACAGAAACACGCTGATCATAGTAATTTACTGATCAATTATACCACATCAACTATACCAGTGCATTCATCAAATAAGCATTTCCAAAATACACATCTAGCAGATAAATGTAACCTAAGGCACAAATTCACACGGATAGAGAAAATCAAGTTCCACAACCTACGAAAACAAAGTGGCAACTGAGAGATCATTTGAGGGATTTGAGACTGAGCTTCTTCCATAAACAACATACCTAGAACTCCCCAAGTTTTCAAATGGAAATTAAACATTTAAATGGCTTATAGAAATTTAACAAATTCTTTATTAGTGGAGTAAATAATTTGTAAACACCTATTTCCTGGGAGGAAAAATAAAAAAAATCAATTTTAAAAAAGAAATGTACTTTTTAGTTCAATTTCCACAGCCATAGTAATTTATGTGGACAAAAATTTAGATTAATTAATACATCCCATCAACTGCAACTAAACAACTTATAGTAATTTAATCTGTGTTTGTGGATATGAGAGAGAGAGAGAGAGAGAGAGAGAGAGAGAGAGAGAGAGAGTTATCTATTATAAAGCCAGCCTTCTTTGAATTTACTTCTTGGTCCTCTTGTGGCTTATTACCAAAACTCTCCACCGCATTTGCAGTAATGCCCTCTGCTTCTGCTCCTGCGATAATTATCATTCCGTAAGTAAAAGGTACAAAAATATCAATTATTTAATGGTAGATATTTACTTTAGACTTTTGAAGATCCAATTCATCCTGCATCTTCTCACACTCATCTTAATGCTGAAGCCGCAAACCTGTCAGCTCAGCTTCATGTTCGCTCCTCATTGAAGTTATTTTCTATGAAAATGATAAACTGGTTTGTAACGTAAGCATATAACACTCTACTTAAATTAGCAGTTCCAATTCAAACTATTTATTTGAACCTCTCAGTTCATTCTCAGCTTGCAGTTGGATATGCTTTAGCTCTTCACTGTGTTCGGATTTTAGACTGAGTATCACGTTCTTGGTGCTCCAACCTATAAAAATACAAAAAATATTTTACGAAATTTCCAAACAACCAATATAATTAAAAGCTTGCATACAGTTTGCTTAATTAACAAATAATGCAGGGCAATTTTCATTTCCAACCAACTGTACAAACACAAAGATGTCTGCTTTAACTACCGCTCTATTGAACAGTAAAAAACCCAAAAACTCTGAACTAAATCAAAA